GATGGCCGCCTGCAACACAAACAGGGGATAGTGCAGCCTGATGTGTGCAACCCACTCGACACGGGAAGAACCACCGCCGCTGAAGCGCCGTACCGCCAGCACGAGAGCTTCTGAAGAGCGTGCTTGTACTCGATCTGTAGAAGGTCAGGAGCAGAATGATGAAACCGCTCGGTATTGGTCTCTCTAAGCGAGATCCCAATTCGTCGGTCATCCAACGTGACGTCGAGTGTGACCGACTGAAAGGGAACAACATTTCAACCCTTTTATGAAAACTTTGTCAGTAATTCCCCAGAATGGTGGACATGACCGAAAGAGACTGTTTACAGTTCAGTGTGTTTACTGTGCACTGACTCGCAAGCTGTTGAGAGACTTGTGACTATCTGAGTAATGCTGATGATGTGGAGGAGCTGCTACTGCTGTAGACGGGGACAGGGAACGTGGCTCATGAATGCCTCTGAATTCTAAAGGAGAGCAGCAAGAAGAAGGAATTGTCGCTCATATCCCTGAAAAGGCAATTGTGCACTGACACATTAGACTGAAGGCTTATACGTCCTGTGCACTCTCAACGACTAGCCCTTTCAAGCTCTCATCAACACAGAATTGACCATGTACCTCCTCTGCCCAGGGGTCCTGTGAGGTCCTGCAGAAATCATTCCTCAGAACTACGAGCTAATGTTGATGAGACATGCATCATAGGGCTAGATCCCCTGGCATGCTTTAGGGCATGTATTAATGTGGTGAATGCTACGCTCCAAAAAAGGGACAGAGAAGACTCAGGGCTTAGTTTGTGGAGTAAGCCAGCCAACTGGAACAGCCTAAGTTGGCTAAAGGTGCCCAGACCCCACTCCGCAGTAGACTCAGATGTCAGTAATGTGGGCTTTGGAGTCCAGGGCCCAGTTTTACTAACATCTTGCACCAGTGCAAACCGTCTTTTGGTGTTAAAATGTCAGGATTTACTAAAGACCGCACAGTGATGAATTAATGCTGAAAAGGCGTGGACACAGTTATTTTTGTGC